TTACTTAGTATCGCTGTTGTTATAATGGTCCTCGTCACATTTATCACCTTCCTTAGTATCGCTGTTGTTATAATGGTCCTCGTCACATTTATCGACTTACTTTGTATCGCTGTTGTTATAATGGTCCTCGTCACATTTATAGACTTACTTAGTATCGCTGTTGTTATAATGGTCCTCGTCAAATGTATCACCTTCCTTAGTAACGCTGTTGTCAAGGGTCATTTGTCAGATATGTTTTACCTTTAATATACTCATCTTGATAACATCGTTACGGATGTCGCCGTTCAAATAAAAAAATACAATTTTGAGACGTTTGAAAAGTGATAAAAAAAATTGGCGTTTCGTGTATAGAGTTACTTTTTTGCATCCTTTTATTTTGTAGTGAATTATATTTTGGATGAAGTATTCTAGATCTATGTTCCGTAATAAACTGTTATTTATCTATGTGTATGTATTGGCTATGAACAACTGGCACTGATAGGTAAAGATAAGTAGAGTATAACAATATGTGGCTGTATACATTTTGTATTTTGTGTTGGTGTATTATTAGGATATCAAATATATTACAAGTACAATCGATTTGATATTCGGTGTTACAGCAACAATGAAGTTATGGCAAAATTTCTATATATCATTAATCTATAAATAGAATTATTTGAAAAAAATGCCTGTAATAAACAAGATATTGTCAAAGACGCAAAATGTAACATCCATTTTATTAATAAAGCTATAAGACTATTTACATGTTTCACGTGTTCATTGAAGCTGATGGATTTTGGATTTAGTTAACCCACCAGATAGGTCGTGACATGAAAACATGTGGGCATCGTATTGAGGTTCTTTGTTTCCTTCTTTGTTGAACCCATTATTATAGCTATTTTTCTCCCTGTCGTCAACGTGGCAGATGCAGAAAACGTTATGTCACGTGACTTTCAGTATATTGTTCCAATGGCAATACATTTAAAGGCAAACTATACAGTTTCACGACCATTTATCCGTGTTATCAGAATAATGTACATATCAGGTTTTGGAAACTTTCAGTAGGTATTGACTAAACACTTTGCATTAGGTAATATTACTAAATATACCCCTGTATCAACACATACAAGTACAAAATATACTCTGCGTCAACAATCTAAGGCAAAATATACTCCGCGTCAACTAACTAAGGCATAATATACTCCGCGTCGACAAACTAAGACAAAATATACTCTGCATCAACAAACTAAGGCAAAATATAATCCCGTCAACAAACTAAGGCAATATATACTCCAGGTCCATAAACTAAGGCAAAATATACTCCACGTCAACAAACTAAAGCAAAATATACGCCGCGTCATTAAACTAAGGCAAAATATACTCCACGTCAACAAACTAAGGCAAAATATACTCCGCGTCAACAAACCACGGCAAAATATACTCCGCGTTATCAAACTAAGGCAAAATATGCTCCACGTCAACAAACTAAGGCAAAATATACTCAACGTCAACAAACTAAGGCAAAATATACTCCGCGTCAACAAACTAAGGAAAAATATACACGGCGTCCACAAATGAAGGCAATATATGACAAAGCGTCAAGACATCTGACAAAATCATCGATCAAAGTGACAACAGAGTACAACTCGTCCACCCGTCAAAGGACTTGAGGCGAAGCCAATTTTTAAGCGGAAATTAACCGCCCTCGGCGCCTTAATCGTGCTCCTTTAGAAGCAATACTTGACAGAAATTCAAATTCTGTAAATTGACGTGCTTAATTGTCAGACCATAGCTAAGAGCAAACTTCCTGGCTTCCTGATACTGACCGACTTCTTCAGAGTACATTACCAAAATTTAAACCTAACAGCTAATTTGATAAGTTTACCAACTGAAAATATCCAGGTTAGAAGAAATGGAAATAGACCATTATTTGTGCAATACGGAATGTCGTATGTATCTTCTAGCCGGGACTACTTTTTATGGGAATCCCCTTGTCATGGCGAACTGAAAAGTTCCCGGTATTTGCAAAAAATACCAAAGGTTATACTATCTTTGTATCGATCTCTACCAAATACGGAAGGTATTGCACTACAGAGCAGATTTCTTTGTTTGCTTGTTTCATGAATATTTGAACAAAAATGGTGGCACGAGTGTAGAATCAGTACGTGCCCGGCAGACATGTATGTTATACACATTAAGGAATAATATTTAAACTTTATTAAGTTTGTCATCAATAGCAATGAGTGTTATAAGACAATAACAATATTTGCTAAAACATTCATTATCTATATTTACAGTTACGCTTTATTTAGTTATTTCGAACAGTTCTTTGAACAGCAAATTTTAAAAGACTTGACAACAATGAAACAGATGACGTCACAATACAGATTGATGACGTTACGATAGCAAATGTTTTTATAGTCTCAAAACATTATTTGCCTTCTCAATGCATTGCAATGGGAGGTTGCAGAGCAAATGTAAAACATATCGATATAATTGTCCTTTCATTGCACTCCCTTCTTTCTTCTCCTTTCCTTCTGATGACGTCATCCAACAATTGTTTTGAAATTAAACAATGCGTTAGTCTATTGCCATGTCCACAATTTTGTTCTACAATTGGTGAAGCGATGACCTGTTTCAGTTTATATAACGTGTGCCCAATCATTTGGCATTATATCTTAACATTACATCATATTGTTAATCTGGAATGGTAGTTATATATAAGCTTCGAATCATGGTAGTGTCACTTCCTCATAAAGACACCAGGGAGCTGACAACGAAACAACAAGGCACCTTAATGACGATAATAAAACCGGGGAGCTGACAACGAAAAAACAAGACACCCTAGTGACTATAATAACAGGGGAGCTCACAACGAAACAACAAGACTACCTAATGACTATAATAACAGGGAGCTGACAACGAAACAACAAGCCCCCTAATGACTATAATAAAGAAATCACCCTTATATTACACAAAGAAGCACCGACAGCTATAATAGAAACGACGATATTTTGAGTAAACCCCAGAATACCGAATCAATTGCAACATGTAAACACGTTTGGGAGACAGGTAAGAACGCGTATCATATAGCGTCAATGACATGTAATTACTAGGTTCTTTCTAAAAAGCATGAAATGCTTTTGTAATTGTGTGAACATATGCACAATACACAGTAGAAATCAATACGAATTTGAGGCATAGGTAAGAGAGCTTCATAAATAAATGTATATATCAATAAAAAATAGAATAATATAGATAAACAAATAGAATAATTAAACAAACAAAACTAAATAAAGAAACGAATATAACTTTAGGCGACCCGAGATATAACATTAAGTCTATGTTTCATGATGCAAAATCAATGTGTTATATGACTTTAAGGGGTTTGAATAGCATATATATGTTGATATGTATTTCATGTGTAGTACGTTTTATATTTTGTTATACATTTGTAGTGATCAGTGACATACACCGGATATCCCACTGACTCTCTAGCACTTTAGTCACGTGATGTCAGTTTGGACCTAGAAGATGGTTGAGATTGGTTATATAATTATATTTTTACTACCTAAAATATTCCGTTGACTTTTTTGGTTGGTTGAAGTGCTTCCTCGTCGCTGTATCGGCTATAATTACAACTTAACATTTTTATCAGTAATATTGAGCTATTATGATGTTATATATATTAATTCAGGATGTTTCTTTTACATTTTTACGGCATGACTGGTAACAAGAATGTAGGAAGTAAAAGAGATTTTTATTTCTAAAATATTGATATATATATAAATATTTGGTTTGGTTTGGTTTGGTTTGTTTGTGTTTTACGTCCTATTAACAGCTATGGTCATTTAAGGACGTGCCAGGTTTTGGTGGTGGAGGAAAGTCGGAGTTCCCGAGGAAAAACCACCGACCGACGGCCAGTACCTGGCGACTGCCCCACGTAGATCTTGAACCCGCGACCCAGCGGTGGAGGGCTAGTGGTAGCAGAATGTTAGATGCCTTAACCACTTGGCCTACGCGGCCCCTTATATATAAATATAACAGCTACTTATGTAATATGATGATATCAGATATACCCTACAACAAACGGTAACACAAAACTAACTTAGTTACTTAAACAAAAAGAGTTTTAAAAATAGTTACATAGTTAGTTCTCCAGTTTAAAGCTAAAACAGATGGTTCCTTTTCGTTAGCTAGAACAAACCTGTTACATTAATACATGTACCCATATTTACTCACACAATTCTATTGCATAAATTCATTCCTATTTACTTCAAAGGCACCCTATAAACTTTTCTTTATTCCAGAAGCTTGACAAGTCTTCAGTATCAGATATATGTATATTTAGGCACTTAATCATTAAATAATTCTCTAGCATGTGTTTTGTAAATAAATAAGTTGGTTTAGTAATGGGATTACTTTTAGAACTTTGAAATGAAAACTGTCTGTCTCTACTAATTGTGCTGACTCTGCCAAGAGGTAGCAGAAGTTGACCACCAAGTACTTTTTATATATAGATATGCTAACTGTATGCAGTGAAAATTTCCTATATCTTATATTAAGATGCATAAATGTTGTAAGAGCTGTTTCAGAAAACGAATGTCACCTTAACTGTTACCCTGGCCACTTACATATTTATGTTTTGGTCCATAAAAGCCACTAATAAGAGTTATTTATAGTTTGTTTAATTACCTGTGTGATTTTTAATTGCCATATCACCCTTGTTTGTTTTAGCCTGTTCTAAACACCCCTATGATGTCTTGGTATTAACTTGTAAGTTTTAAACCTAATAATATCAATTAAAATAAATGATAAAAATATTAACGTGCTTATAAAAATTAAAAGCTGCCACTCTCGATGTGGTTGTGTGTGATGGCTGTCACTGTGTACGCACATACAGTTTTATGTAATGTATATGTATAACCAACACATCCTCTACCCTCTGTGTACGCACATACAGTTTTATGTAATGTATATGTATAACCAACACATCCCCTACCCTCTGTGTACGCACATACAGTTTTATGTAATGTATATGTATAACCAACACATCCCCTACCCACTGTTAAACACAGCGACAGCATGCCTGTTGAGTTAATGTGTTTCTGTTTATCGTTGTTTTATATAATATCTCTATGGTAAAAGCTCACATAACGAGCTTGTATTCATCGTGATGTTAGATATATTGACGTAGAGTAATACTTACTCACACTTCAACTTGACTGCTTAGCAAACACAAC